GCTTGGGGAAAACACAGCTCTGCCCATTCTGGAGCTTTGAGTGCCCCCTGAGTGTCCCCTGTCCCTCAGGAAATGTCCCTGATCCCTGGTGGTGCCACCTCCAGCCCCTTCCGTGCTGCTGGGGACAGGTCAGTGCTCAGCAAGGAGCCCCCATCTCCCAGAACAGCCCAGCCTGGCTGAGCAGAGCACCCACAGGTAAACAGGAGCAATCCTCATTAATCCCAAATCCTTGGCAGGGTACAGGGGCCACCTCTGAACCAGAGGAAGGACAGACAGCACTGTCCTGCTGTGGAGATCCCAGAGCTGCCCAGTGTTTTAACTGAACCCTGCCGAGGACCCAAATCCATTTCTGCGGAATTTTCCCCTGTGCAAACCCCTCCCTGCTGTCAGGAACTTGACCCTGCTTTGTTTGTGCCTCAGTTTCCCCAGGGTATAAGGTAACGTGCCTGTCTTGCCCTGTCTAAAGAAATAAACAGAAAGCAGAGGGGWGCTCTTCCCCCATCTAAAGGGTTGGGTTAAAGCAGAGGAGGAAGGTGAGGATGAAGGCTCTCAGGGGTGAAGCTGCTTGGGGAGAATTAATTATCACTAATTGTGTGTGTTTCTGTAAGGGCGGGGCAGTTGGTGGCTGATTTTATTCCCTGCCCCGGTGCAGGAGCATCACAGCCCCGTGCTCAGCGAGGACAAGGGTGATTCTCCAGCTCGGTTATTTCCCCTGGATAAATCCAGCTGCCGTCACCATGCTGGGAGGTTCAGCCCCTTCTGCACTAAAGGAGATGTGCTCAGCCTCCTCCACACAGCCCTGGGCAGCAGCAGAGCTGGGACAGCCCCGTGTGGTGACACAGCAGCTGAACTGCCCCAGGACACGTCCCAGGGGCTGAGAGCAATCACCACATCCACCTCCTTCCCAAACCCCGGACTGGCCCAGGAACAGCTTTGGAAAATCAGGAAAAACATTTCTGAAAGCCTGTGCTGGTTGCAAAGCACCAGTGGCATTTCGCATGCAGTGCATATAAATAGACGTTTTCTGGCTTTTTTTCCCTGTTTCGGTGATGAGCCACTGCRGGGGGCTCTGAGCATCCTTTGCTTGGTTCGTATCACGGATGCTGTTTCTATTCTGCATTTCCTTCAGCCCCAGGAGCCGCTGGGGTAACTCAGCTCGGGCAGAGCTCGGGACACTGGGAGGTCCACATTCCCTCATGGAAAGGGAACATGCATGCAAACGTGGTGACAGCTGGGGTTCTCCAAACACAGAGATGTCTTTGGGAACCCAAAACGCTCATTTTGAGTCTCAGCTCGGTGTCAGAGGTTCCCTAACCCTGCTCCTTCGTCGTGTGTGGGGTATGCGCTGTACACARTAATATTGATGCTAAAAAGCCACAGGAATGACGCTCCCACAGCTGCTCCTCCACCCCCATCCCAMCCCTGCACGTCTCCAGAGGGGTTTGGCAGCCCTGGAGGGTTCTCCCTGCACCCAGGCTGGAGAGTCCTGCTGCTCCAAACCTTCGGCACCAAAAGGAGAAGAGCCCCCATCACAGGGGGCCAAAAGCCACCACCTCCCTCCCTCTGCCCTCGGGAGAAGCTGCAGCAGCCAGCTTCAG